TATAAATAAAAATTTCATAAAATACGAATGATGCATAAATCCAAATTTTGACTTACTCTAACTTGGTCAGTTTTGAAAATAGAAAAAAACTGTCGATACACAAAATGCTAAAAAAAAAATCTATCCGAATATGTAGAAAAAAAATAGTGTTTCTATTTAAAAAAATGTAAGTTGTATTGCGCATGCGCACACTAAAAGTGTTAATAATTTGAAATTTATCCAAAAATATGTATTTAGGTTCTCCCTATCACCTCCCAAAAACGCCAGTTCAATACAAGGTCATGCACCTGAGATATTTAGTGTTACCATAAATCGTGATCACACTGTATATGTATATATAAGTGATTATTATTTATTTATTTAATCATAATACCTTCTGCTTCATTGGAGTTGCTTTTTTCTTTGTTAATTACGTTTTTTACTTTCTCATCAATATTGGATTTTATTTTAGAATCAATTTTTTTTTCTTCTTTTGGTATTGTTGATGTTAATAATGGTGATGAACCATTATTACTTTTTGGATTTACTTTGACCACTTGTTCTACTTTAGGTGTATTTTCTTCTATCAGAGGTTTAGTAAGTTCTGGTAATGTAGTCGGTCTTACAATGTTAATAATTTTTCTAAGTTTTTCTTCTTCTTCTTGTAGCTCATTAATTTTAATCTATGTTCAAACAAATATATAATAAAAAATATTAATTATTAAAAACTATAAATATTACTGTACTTTCAATCTTTTGATCTCAATTTTGTCAACAGTTTTATAATTTCTAAGATCAGACATAAAAGATTCCAAAGAGTCTTCATCATTAGTCCCACCATACTCTTTGGTGACATTTTGATTTAATCTATTTAATTTACTCTTGGTATGTTTAAGATCAGCAATCAGAAGCTTATGTTTCTCCATCTGAAAAAAAAAATGATAGTAAATACAATCTAAATTAAATATCAACTTTATATCATCATTTTAATTTAATATTACAATATACATTGTGCATACCAATGTTTCATAAGTATCAACAGTTTCGGCAGCTTTACCAAATTTTTTCATTCTTTTTTTGCGCTTTACATCAATATCCCCTGTACGATCTAAGAAATTATCATCATCACTGTCGTAAAAGTCTTCCTCTTCCCAATTTTTTTCTTTACGTTTTCTACTTTCTACAATATAAAAAGGTAATTGTAAAATTAAAATTAATAAATAAAYGCAAAAGTATTTACCATGCGTAGATTGTCTTAAAAGTCCATACATATCCAAAATTTTACATGCTTCCAATGCACAATGTGCAATTGCTTCTTTTTTTTTACCACTTATTGTGGCTTCAGCAATTTGTGGTCTTCCTGTAATGTTTGCTATTGGTAATCTAAAATAGGATTGTTAAAACGTATTGAAATAAAATTATTATAAATAATATTACATACTCTATACGACAGGTAAATGTTCCAAATCCTTTTTCTGATACATCATACTCTAATTCTTGTCCTTCTCTTTCAAACCAACCTTTCAATGTTTTTTTAGGATCGTCCAAATATAATTGCTCATTTTCTTTAGGAGCAAAAGGATTTTCTTTGGTATCTTCTTCTTCATTTGCATCTTCGCCTAAAATATAAACAATACATTACATTAAAAAATATATAGTTTAAAATTTAAAAAAAAATATTTAATTATACAATTGCATTTCAAAATTTTTAACCTATGAAAAAATACACTACAACAAAGTAATGAAAAATAAATGTTTATTTAAAGTTTAAATCATCTAAGCTTTGAAAGAAAAGAAAAATAAGTTTTAATGCCATTTAGAATTAGGATTATCAATATATTAAATATTTATATATAATAATAGTAATACATACCCATTCCCCAATCAACACCTTGTTCCATTTTTTTTCTCTCTTCTTCTTCTCTTTTTAGTCTKAGCAACTCTTGTTCTCTTTCTCTCTGTTCAAGTTCTGCTTGCCGTTTAGCTTTTAACTCAGTAACAGTTAATTCAGATTCTTTTTCTTCATCATCTGGTGGTCCTTGTAATAAATACA